CGGTAGGGCCATATCTGCTGATCCTGTTCCGGCCAGACAGGAGGAACCACTACTTGCTTCAGCACTTCCAGCAGACGATGCAGTAGTGCGGGTGGAGAAGGAAGCCCCTGCTCCCAAGCCATAACCAGTGGTTAAGGAGCATGTGCCCCAGCTTCCCTTCCCCACTCGCCTACACAAAGACAAGCTGGAGACTGAGTTTGCCAAGTTCATGACAATGTTGAAGCAGCTCAACATCAGCATACCGTTCGTGGAGGCACTGTCGAAGATGCCCAAGTATGCCAAGTTCATGAAAGATCTCTGCACCAACAAGAAGAAAATTGGGGATCTCTCGACAGTGTTGCTGAGCGAGGAGTGTTCTGCTATCCTGCAGAACAAGCTGCCCGAGAAGCGCAAGGATCCAGGGAGTTTTACTATCCCTCTTACTATTGGCAGCATGCATGTAGGAAAGTCCTTGGCGGACCTAGGCGCTAGCATTAACGTCATGCCATATAAGTTGTATAAAATGCTAGACCTAGGTGAACTTAGCCCTACTAGGATGAGCATTCAATTAGCTGATCGTTCTATTGTGCATCCTAGGGGAATCATAGAGGATCTGCTTGTTGGTGTTGGTGCATTCACATATCCTGTTGATTTTGTTATTCTTGATATACATGAGGATGTGGATCTGCCTTTGATTCTAGGTAGGCCATTTCTTGCCACCGCCAAGGCACTTATTGATGTGCATGATGGTAAACTGATCTTGCGTGCTGGGAATGAACAGGCTACTTTTTCTGTGACTGAGTTTGATCACTGTGCTATGATTGTTGTCACGCCTGTACATGCTATGTCTGATCAGGCACACGAGCCTGTCGTGTATCCTTCTGCACCTCTTGTTTTGCAGGACCCTCCTATCATTCCTTCGCCACCACTCCATCCAGTCTCGCCTCCGAACAAAAAGCTCAAGGAGGAGTGGCAGCCGAAGCAGCAGGTTGCTAAGCCTGCACGGAAGAAGAGTGGAGACCACTATGAGCTGGTCCCACCTCCTCCACCACGACCACCCTGGCCGTCCGGGTACTCACTCGCCTACATCGTGCCAGATGGGCAGGTCGAGCTGACTGATGAGGGTGGTCGCATCCGTCGGGTGCATGGCCACAACCTCAAGCTGTACCTCAAGAGCGACGTGGATCCTCTCTTGAAGGCACCTGTTCCTGCACCGCCCTGAGTATCCACCATGGGCGTCCAGCTAAAAGACGGTAAAGAAGTGCTTGTGGGGAGGCAACCCCACCACGGTTTGATTTTCTTTCTTGTGTTTTGAGTCGGATTGTAACCCGGTTTGGGTTTGGTTTGTTTTCTTTTGGTTTGGATGATATTTTATTGGGCTGACCATTGAACCTAACATATTGTGTTTGAGCTCTTCTGTTTCCCTTTGGCTGTGCTTGCCCCGACTGGCCCGTTTCCAGTCTCCTGCGAGGGCAATGTCGATCTTAAGTGTGGGGGGATGTTTATCTTTTGACTGCATTAGATCTGTTTGTGTGCTTGGAGCCTAGTCCACTGTCCAAATTTTTAAATTTGAGGGCTCCAAGTACGTGTTCCTTGCAATTGCCTGCTCAGTATGCTTTGAATTGACAGTCTTTATAGTAATATGCAACCTAGGGAGGTAGTGTAGCACTATGGAGGATGTTGATGCATTTAAGAAGTCTCATTTCTTCTTCATATTGTGTTGGTTGATTGAGTGAATTAGTGATCTTAGGACCCTTGAATTGTGTGGTGTTGTGGATTTTCTACCTGTCATGGACTCTTGTGTCATGTTTTGAAAATAACAGGTGCTCGAAAATGTGCTTCAAAATAATAAACATCTCCCGTGCGAATAGGGCGAAAGTGTGTAAGGGGAGACGGGAATTCGTTCCCAATTTCCACCTACTACCTCCAGCCCCCTTACATGTCTTTCCCCCGCACGAGGCTCGAGACATCCGCTCCTGGCATGGCCGGTAAGAGCAGGTTGGGACCCTTGAAAAAGAAAAGAAAAGAAAAATATCAGAAAACAAGCAAAACAGGAAAAAAAGGGGGTTCCAACCATCTTTAAGCAGAAAATAGAGCACCTTGAAAAATGTGAGTCCATGGTCTTTTGTTTTTGAGAATCTCACCATCCACAATTCATTTGTCCTCTGTTCACTATTTGCCATGATGCCGACTCGATACTAGTGCTCTCGCCGAAGAAGCTATGAGATGACTTGTGCGTCGGTTGACCTCGTAAGTTGCTAATTGACCTAGGAAGTCCTCTATCTACGATCTGGGTTGTTTGCTGCTATAGAGGTCTGGAGAGTTGCATTAGTTTGAGTTAGGTTTGCTTGGGGACAAGCAAACGGTTAAGTGTGGGGGAGTTTGATAACGATGTAATTGCACATGTTTGCGCCCCTAGTTCTCATCCGTTTGAGGGGCATAGTCGTGTGTTGTGGCCTATTTTACGGCGGGTTGTGCTATTTTTCATGTTTCAGGTCCCAGGTGTCAAAGGGAAGGCTAAGCGCGAGTTTCGGGGCATTCGGAAGTCATTTCGGTGAGCTGGAGCCAAAACACGGGCAGCCTAAGGCATTACACGGCCGTGTTCCTGTGGCCGTGCTTTTTATGCCGAGAGCTAAAGGCACTACACGGGCAAGGCCGAGACAAAGCACGGCCGTGTTCAAGCATTACATGGCCGTATCCAACGCGAAACACGGCCGTGTTTCTCCCAACTGCTGGCCGTGTAATTAAGCTTGGCCGAGGCACGGGCGGACTCAGGCAAAGCACGGCCGTGCCCTCGACCGTGCTTTGGCCACTGATGCTTTTAAGCAGATTTTCAGCCACAATTCAAGGGGATTCGAGTTTTAGAGAGAGAGATCAGTTCCTAGAGAGAGAAAGCGACGAACAAGAGTCTCTAAGTGCCCTAGATTGATCTTCAACACCATTGGAGGCCAGCTTGAGCTTGGAGAAGTGCCGATCAACATCCAGAAGCAGGAATCCATCCTTCGCAGTATGAATTCCGTGTCTGATTCTGCGTTTGCTTTCTTCTCCATGGAGTAGTTCTCCCATTCATCTGGGTATGGAGAACCCTAGATTTGTATGTTAGGCTTTGATTGTATGAACCCAAGTACTGATTCTGTGATTGATTATATTCGATTGAGGTTTTAATGATTGAATGACTTGAATCCTGATCAAATTCCTGTTGTTTCTGCTTTAACCTAGAATGAGAATATCTGCCTAGGTTGATAGAGTATCCTTGATTGAAGGTAGGGAGTTGGTGACTTTAGTCGAGGAACCAACTCACTATTCTGTACCGGATTTACTCCGGTAGTGGAGGTTTTGTTCTTAGGGCCTCAATCTGTCTACTTCGGTGGAGGTTAGTCGCCCGCTAGAGATTCAGATTGAGAGGGTCTGAAGACCTTTAGTCGAGACTTCAGGCTGTTTAAGAACCTTCCGCAGTATAACTTTCATAGAAACTGAACTTGGTAATTACAATCCGGCTTAACTGCAATCTAGGGGGAACCATATCCGGGTGACCTCCTTAATCTGAATACAACAGTTTACTTGCTTTGTTAGTTTGTTAGTTTGGACTTGCATTAAAGTTTCATTGCTAGATAACAAGAATTCACTGAGTAGTCATCAAATCTAGGACCCGGGTTGATAATTAAACCCAAACCCGCTATACTACGCTTTAGGAAGTGGTTTCACTTGGCCAATTCCTGGAGTGACAGTAGAGTCGAGTCACAGATTGCAGCAGGAATCAGGAAAAGTTGATCAGACTTCAATTGACTCAATAAACATGCATCATTCGATTAAAATCAAACAGTAATATCATCCCAAGTCATTACAATCAATCCCTAACACATAGAACTAGGGTTCTTCATCCCCCAAGTGAGAGAGAGGTTCTACTCCATAGAGAGAGAGAGAGAGGAAAACAAGGTACAAAGCAGTCATACTCATTACAATGGGAAGAATCTGCTCTGGGATGATGATTTCCACTCCTGTGACGATCTCCAAGCTTGATTTGATGAAACCCAGCTCCAAGATAGCTTCTAGGATGTGTTCTTCGTCCTTTCTCTCTCTAAGGCTCTGTTTTTGCTCAAAAAGTCCGATTCTTCCACATGTGGCTCGAAATTGGCTGAAAAACCAAGATTTCCCGACTCACACGGGCAGGCCACATGGCCGTGTGGCTCACCTAGTTGCCTGTGTGAGTCAAAACGCGGCGTATCAATTAGTTCGATCTTCAGGCTTCCCACACGGCCAGGGTCGCACGGCCGTGTGGGATTTCCATCCTGCCCGTGTTTGCTCTCGGCGAAAATCACACGGCCACAAATGTGAGTTGCACGGCCGTGTGATGTCCAGGAATGCCCGTGCGGCTTCCTTAGCACCTCGCCACGCGTCCGATCTTCGTCCAATCGACCCCAAACTCGCTCCCAAGCCTCCATTCACGTACTAGGACCTGAAATATCACAAACAAGCACAACCTAGCGTGAAATCGGCCTAAAACACGAGAATCAACACCTCAAATGGTGTAAGAACAGGGGTAAAAACATGTGTAATTAACGGTCTATCAATCGTAGTAAGAGCAAGGATATCGATGACTTAGATATCCATGATGTTTTGCAAACTGTCAGTTTGCCCCAGCATCATAATGTTTGCTATAAACCAGCGAAGATGCCTGCGACCTTGCTCCAACCCTAGTGGCGCATCATCAATGAGCTCCTAGCCTGGACCATCTTCCCCGGTGATCGGTCTCCGAACCAAGGTCAGTAAGAGAGCAATGCTAGCCTTCCACACCATGCCTTGAACTAATTACAGTATCCACCTTGGCTCGGTGTGGGCAACATCTTTTACATGAGCGACAGGAAAGCTCTGCAACCTGTAGGGGTGGACAATGGGTTGGTCCACACCGGACCACACCGGACCGAATTGAGTTTGGATCGGACCACATCGAATCGAATATAATATGGTCCGGTCCTTGTTCCCATGAATTTTATAAATACTAAAGAAAAATGGACCGAATTTACATTTGGACCGGACCAAAGTGGACCAAACGGACCGAATACACTATTGGTCCAGTCCTTGATCCTAAGTTATCTTTTACTATTGGACCGCTATTCTATAATTTGATCCGATTTGGTCCGGACCGGACCGATGTCCACCCCTAGAAACCGCATCATGCATTTTTGCCCTTTCATCACCAGGCTAGCCATACATTTCCACATCGAGCTCAACATCTGCACCCTCTTGGGGCGTTCTACCAACTTTTCCAATGACACATTGGTTTCCATAAACCTACTTAGGACCTATGGAACACTCCTGTACATTGAGGGTTTTCCTATTCTGGCCGAGGCTGCTAATATGGCTCCACCCTAGTGCCATCATGACAATGCCAGGGCTTCTTCATCGCTATCGGGGAGCTGGTCCTACCTTCTCAGCCAGGCCTAAGTCATCACTCTGGAGGGTCACTACACCAATATCATGTCCTGTCTCGACTGAGAGAGGGAAGCTCACCGCCACTCCCACTACATGGACAAGGAGCTCATGGCCCAACAAGTTCTCATCTTCATTGGTTCAGGTTGGATTCACTCTCCCCCTCATCAGCTGGAGAGGCCTCAGGATGATAATGATGCTGAGCGATCTTGAGTGTCATGCTTGGCACCGTACCACCATTCCTCCTCTATGTCCACCTTGAATCCTTTGTTTTTATGTTCGTGTGATTGAATTTGAACTAATTTGTTTCCTTTAATTTCTTTTAGATTATAAAGAATATGTGTATAATAACATCACCCTTAGTGAGCTTGTGTTTGTGTGTGCGTGTGTTTGCTCCTTGTGATAACTCATCTCTCAAAACTGGTCCACTCTCAAGCCCGACTCTTTACTTGCCATATTCGGTAACTTTGTTCCACCCTTATCTTGCCTCCATCGAGCCATCGAGGACAACGTCATGCTTAAGTGTTTGTGTGTGTGGTCGGGGAGGGTGTTGAATGTATATGTTGAATGATGTGTGAATGTGAATGAATGATTTGGCTTATCTATCAATCGCCGTGTAGCCTAATTATTTCCCAAATTTCAACAATTTGAGGGCTCCAAGCACCTGAGGATGATTGATTGAATTTAGGCCTACATTGAGAGTGCTTTGGAATCTAGATTATATGCTCAAATATTCAAATTTTTGGGGTTCCAAACACATTGTATCATGCATGATTCCTACTCATTGTGATTTTAATTTTTGGATGTCGTGATGGTGTACATTCTAGGGAGGATAGTGTAGTGATGTAGAGAATGTCGATTAATGAGGGGTTTGCCTCAATTTCATCTTTGGTTGGTTGGTACTTTTTGCTATTGAGGATATGACATACATGTTGGACTCTCTCCATTTTCTTACTCAAAATTTTTTTGCAAAAGGTGATGTGGTTTTCAATATGCTTTAAATGAAAAATAGTGTCTCGCGTGAGTGGAAACCAGTCATATTTTTTAAGTTAATCCATCAAAGGGCTTTTATATTGGACAGTGTGCTTGTGAGGATGTGTTTAGATAAATTTGAATAGCTTTTTAGCATCGACCAACCTTCATATACAACCTACCATATTTCCCTAAAAAACTTCTCCTCATCACGAGACTTGTTTGAGAAGAGATGCTTCTTTTTGCTCAAGTTGAGAGACTCGACTTCTGAATATCTCACACGAGTGACAACTAGTCTTTTGTTTGACGCGAGTGTAGATTGGGAATTGGTGCTTGAGAGATCCGGACTTACCATCCGAAATGCTTCGATGTATATATGCATCGAAACAAAGATACATTATTGTGGAAGAAATCAAACTAGAGTACTATCATGCATCGATGATTGATCTATATTCTATAGCATCATTCTATCCCTTCCACTAAAGCCATTCTTTACTCGTGTTTGGGATATAGATTTAACTAGCTAATGTGTGTTGTTGCTTCATGACATCACCTAATTAATGAAGAATAAGGAAGTTAGGATAGCACATGAGTAAGTGTGGGCCTCTAAGAGCCATAATCAATGCTCTGTAGCATCGATGATCTAAAAATCAATCATTGATACTACTCGAGGTATAGATGGTTAATTATTCCCTCTATGTTCGTGTAACATAAATGGGTTATCACTAAAGAGTAATTTCTTATTGTTAATGTCACTTGAATCTCCTCGATATAGTGAAACTGGCTCTCTCTCGCCCGTGGACTAGCTAACACACATCGTGTTAGTGAACCACGTAAATCGTGTGTCTGTGTTTTTTTGATTCTTGCTTTCGTATTCTCGCTTAATTGATTCCGGCAATTTCCCGATCCGTAGCAGCGCGTTTATAACAAGTGGTATCAGAGCCGCGGCTGGAAATCAGGCTAGGGTTTTCGATTCAGAATAATGACGTCGGGGAACATGAAGATCGAAAAGTTCACGGGGAAGAACAGCTTTGCTATATGGCAGATCAAGATGCAGGCTTTATTAAAACAGCAAGGGTTGTGGGGGCCGCTGTCTGCGAAACAGAAGAAGGCAGCGGTCGATGACGATGAGTGGAATACCCTGGAGGAGAAGGCCCACTCGACCATCATGCTATCGTTGTCTGATGACCTCATCATTGAAGTTGCTGCTGAGAAGACTGCCGCGGGCTTGTGGTTAAAGTTGGAGAGTCTGTATATGACGAAGTTCTTAACCAACAAGCTGCATCTCAAGCAACGGTAGTTCATCTTCAGGATGCAAGAAGGTACGCCTTTGGGGGAACATCTCAAACAACTTAACTCTATTTTGCTGGATCTGCGTAATATAGATGTTCAAGTTGATGATGAGGATGCTGCCCTAATCCTACTTGTTTCTTTGCCAAGTTCATATGAGAATTTGGTTGATTCTTTTATTGCTGGTAAAGAAAGCGTGTCGTTGGAGGATGTCAAGTATGGTCTTCATATGAGAGAGATCAGGCATAAGGCGTCCGGATCTGGTACAGGTGGTGAGGCATCAAGTTTGGCTGTTACAGGTGGAAAGGGAAAGAAGAAACCTGGTAAAGGGAATTCTAACAAGAATTCCAAGGGTCCCGGTCCACAGCCAGGTGATGCTTGTCACAATTGTAAGAAAGTGGGGCATTGGAAGTACAACTGTCCCAGGAGAAGAGGGCAACAGAAGAAACAAGGTTCAGTTGCCGTGGCAGAAGTGGACAACAGTTTTGAAGACGATCTCGCCTTGGCTGTAGATGAGAAGGCACATCGTGGGGAGGTGTGGTTTATGGATACTGAAGCCTCATACCATATGTCTCCGAACATGGATTGTTTCACAACCTACGAGCAGATAGATGGTGGTAATGTGTTCATGGCAAATGGAGCTGTCTGCAAGGTTGTTGGAATCGGGTCCATAAAAGTTCGGGCACATGATGGTTCGTTCTGTACCGTGAATGATGTCAGGCATGTTCCACAAATTACCAAGAACCTTATCTCCTTGAGTCTACTCGACAACAAGGGTTTTAGTTTCAAAGGAAAAGGTGGAGTTGTGTATGTCTGCAAAGGTTCTAGGAAGGTGCTGAAGGGCGTGAAGCATGGGACCTTGTATGCATTACAAGGGTCTGTGTTGTCTGGTTCTGTTGCAGTTGCATCGTCTCAGGTTCATCAGGAAGATATGACCACTCTCTGGCACATGAGATTGGGGCATATGAGTGAACGGGGGATGCAAGTTCTGTCGAAGAGGGATCTTCTTTGCGGGCACAAGGTGCAGAATTTGGTATTATGCAAGCATTGTGTGTTTGGGAAGCTACATCGCAGCAAGTTTCCTAAGAAGGGTATCCACCAGACGAAGGGGATACTAGATTACCTCCACTCCGACTGTTGGGGTCCTTCACAAGTTGAATCCATTGGAGGCAGCAAGTATTTTCTGTCTATTATTGATGATTATTCGAGATTTACTTGGATTTTCATGATGAAGCAGAAAAGTGAGGCTTTCACGAAGTTCAAGCAGTGGAAGACATTGCTGGAGAATCATACTGGGAAGAAGATCAAGAAGCTGCGAACGGAAAATGGTCTGGAGTTCTGTAATTCTGAGTTCAATGAATTCTGCAAGGATGAAGGGATTGCCCGTCATTAGACTGTGAGAGATACACCCCAGCAGAATGGCGTTGCAGAAAGGATGAACCAGACATTGTTGGAGAGAGCACGGTGCATGCTCTCTAATGCTGGACTAGAGAGAAGATTCTGGGCAGAAGCAGTGAACATGGCGTGCTTCCTGATCAACCGTGGACCTCACACAGGTATCGAGTTTAAGACTCCTTATGAGGTGTGGTATGGTAAGCCTGCTATTACTCTTCACTGAAAGTTTTTGGGTGTCCTATTTATTATCATGTGGATGAGGGTAAACTGAAACCAAGGGCAAAGAAGGGTGTATTGTGGGTTACGGAGATGGAGTTAAGGGATTTCGAGTCTGGTCACCTTCTGAGCATCGAGTTATACTCATTAGAAATGTGATATTTGATGACAAGTCTATGTTTAACCCCATGTTGAAGGTTACTGTTGTTGAAGGTAGCAGGAATGTTGATAAGCAGGTGGAGCTGCAAACTCTCAATGAGAGTGAGTTTGAGCACCAAGGTGGAGATGATCAACATGAGCATGTTTCTACAGAGTCAGAAACTTCACAGTCCAGTGCAGGAGCTCAACAGTCTATAGCTTCTGGTAGACCGAAGAGAGCGACTGTAGGGGTACATCCACAGAGATATGGCTTCGAGGACATGGTGGCGTATTCATTTCAGATTGCTGAAGAAGTGGATGCAGGTGAGCTACAGTCCTATAGAGAAGCCGTTTCGGGTGGCGAAGCTGATCAGTGGCTTGCCGCAATGGGAGATGAGATGGAATCCCATGATAGGAATCAGACTTGGGAGCTAGTCAAACGACCACAGGGAAGAAACATTATTACAAACAAGTGGATCTACAAGAAGAAGGAAGGAATCACTTCTAAAGAGGGCATGAAATTTAAAGCTCGAGTGGTTGCACGAGGCTTCTCGCAGAGGGAAGGAGTTGACTACAATGAGATTTTCTCACCAGTGGTCAGACATACTTCGATCAGAGTGCTACTAGAAATAGTGGCACATTATGACTTGGAGCTCGAGCAGCTAGACGTGAAGACAGCTTTCCTACATGGAGAGTTGGAGGAAGAAATTTACATGACTCAGCCAGAAGGATTCCAGGTTCTAGGAAAAGAAGACTATGTTTGTAAGCTGAAGAAGTCCTTGTATGGACTTAAGCAATCTCTGAGGCAGTGGTACAAGAGATTTGACAGTTACATGTTTGAGCTGGGCTACAGCAGAAGTCCATATGATTGTTGTGTGTATCACAACAAGGTGGAGGATGGTTCGATGATCTATCTTGTTATGTATGTGGATGATATGCTCATAGCTGCGAGGTCGATGTCTGATATCCAGAAGTTAAAGGGCTTCTCAGTGCTGAGTTTGAGATGAAGGATTTGGGAGCTGCTCAGAAGATCTTGGGTATGGAGATTTACAGGGATAGGTCAAAGAAGAAGCTTTTCGTGTCACAGAAGAGCTACATCCAGAAGATACTGTCGAGGTTTGGCATGTCTTCAGCAAAGCCCTTAAATACTCCTAGTGCTTCAAATATTCATCTATCCTCAGCTTATGCACCGCAATCAGAGGTTGATAAGGAGTACATGTCGAGGGTCCCATATGCTAGTGCAATAGGTAGCTTGATGTACGCTATGGTATGCACTAGACCTGATCTTGCACATGCTGTTAGTGTTGTTAGCAGGTTCATGATACAACCTGGGAAGGATCATTGGCAGGCTGTGAAGAGGATCTTCCGGTACCTTAAGGGTACACCTGATGTGGGGATTAGCTTTGGAAGCGATACAGAGTGCTTGGTGTCTGCGTATTCTGACTCGAACTATGTTGGAGATGTTGACACGAGGAGATCGATGACCGGTTATGTATTCACTCTTGGGAGTTCTGTAGTGAGCTGTAAGGAAACTTTGCAGTCGGCGATGACATTGTCTTCTACTGAGCCTGAGTATATGGCGTTGACAGAAGCTGCTAAGGAGGGAATATGGTTGAAGGGACTGGTTGGTGATCTGGGTCTACATCATGATCAGGCAGTGGCGTATTGCGACAGTTTGAGTGCAATATGCTTGGCCAAGGATCAAGTCCACCATGAGAGGACTAAGCACATCGACGTGCGGTATCATTTCTTGAGGACAGAGAAGACGATTAAGGTGAAGAAGGTTGGCACCGCGGATAATCCTGCTGATATGTTCACGAAGCCGGTTCCACATGGCAAGTTCCAACACTGCTTGGACTTGCTGAATGTCTTGAGTGGGTGACTCCGCCCTGCGGGGCATTGATGGCGGGAGAGAGAGAGATAAGTAGCATAGTACATGATAACGATGTATTTGCACATGTTTGCACCCTTAGTTCTTATCCGTTTGCGGCTAGTAGTCGTGTATTTTTGGCCCGTTTTACGCCGGGTTGTGCTACTTTGTCATATTTCAGGTCCCACACGTCGAAAGAAAGGCTAAGCACGAGTTTCGGGGCATTTGGAAGTCATTCGGTC